CCCTCCATCACTCTGTCCATCACTCTGTCCATTCCTCCATATCTGTTCATCCCTCCATCACTCTATCCATTCCTCCATATCTGTTCATCCCTCCATCACTCTGTCCATCACTCTGTCCATTCCTCCATATCTGTTCATCCCTCCATCACTCTATCCATTCCTCCATATCTGTTCATCCCTCCATCACTCTGTTCATCACTCTGTCCATTCCTCCATATCTGTTCATCCCTCCATCACTCTGTTCATCACTCTGTCCATTCCTCCATATCTGTTCATCCCTCCATCACTCTGTCCATCACTCTGTTCATCCCTCCATCACTCTGTCCATCCCTCCATATCTGTCCATCCCTCCATATCTGTCCATCCCTCCATCACTCTGTCCATCACTCTGTTCATCCCTCCATCACTCTGTTCATCACTCTGTCCATCCCTCCATATCTGTCCATCCCTCCATCACTCTGTCCATCACTCTGTTCATCCCTCCATCACCCTTTTATCCCTCCATCACTCTGTTCATCCCTCCATCACTCTGTCCATCACTCTGTTCATCACTCTGTTCATCACTCTGTTCATCACTCTGTCCATCCCTCCATCACTCTGTCCATCACTCTGTTCATCCCTCCATCACCCTTTTATCCCTCCATCACTCTGTCCATCACTCTGTTCATCCCTCCATCACCCTTTTATCCCTCCATCACTCTGTTCATCCCTCCATCACTCTGTCCATCACTCTGTTCATCACTCTGTTCATCACTCTGTCCATCCCTCCATCACTCTGTCCATCACTCTGTTCATCCCTCCATCACCCTTTTATCCCTCCATCACTCTGTTCATCACTCTGTTCATCCCTCCATCACTCTGTCCATCACTCTGTTCATCCCTCCATCACCCTTTTATCCCTCCATCACTCTGTTCATCACTCTGTTCATCCCTCCATCACTCTGTTCAAACATTTTCTTTGTGTGATCAATAAACAGTGACCAGAATGAGAAATAAAGAAAATAAACTCTGTCCCAGACAGACAGCTTTCCTTTTCTTCCTTTTTCTTCATATCCCTTTCCTTCCCTTTCCCTGTTTCCTTTCCTTCCATCCTCTCCTTCTATCTTCATTTCTTTTCTCTCCGACTCTCTATCAGACTCACAGTGAGAGGAAGTCATTTCACTGAAGTAGCTTTCAGCCTCCGATCGGCTCTAATCTGCTCGTTTATGTCAAGCAACATTCAAGTGTGTCACAGCATGAGATTTATTCACACACACACACACACACACACACACACACACACACACACACACACACACACACACACACACACACACACACAGCCTGTGTTTATAGAGACAAATGAAAGCCTTATTATTACAAGTGTTTCACTGTTAGGCAGCAAGATGACAAGCACCTCTCACACTCACACACATTAACAAGGTTACACAGCAATCCAGCCGGAGGTGGGAATGTCATCGCTGAGGAGGAAACCAATTATTCTTTAAGCCCACAGACACACACGCACGCACTCACACACACACACACACACACACACACTCACACACAAACTCACACACACGCACACACACACGCGCACACATTAAAATGAACACACACGCTCTCTGATCAGTCAGATCCAACAGCTAGGAAGTGAACCTAATAATCGTGACATCATGACTAATCACAATAAGATGAAAAAAGTCTGAATAAATAAATAAGGGGGGGGGGGGCTTAGTCCTAGTCCGGTCTGATGGTCGAACCTGCTGGGAGGGAAAGGGGTGTGTTCAGACCTCAGCCTCTCAGTCAATTCATTGACAGAAAAAAAACACAATGTCATCAGCAAAAGGTCGAACCAGGCACGATGTTACTGGACAGCTACGTGATATCTCTCAGCAAGGTGCTGCAGCAGCCAATCAGATACATATAAGGTCCACGAGCACCTGAGGCATTTCGGGTTTCGGGGTAAACCCTTTCAGACGGCAGTGATTGACTGGCTCGCCACGGCGGGAGCTTCAGGAGCTCAATGAAATATTGGCGCAGCACGCTGTGATGACTTCCTGAGTGGCCAGTTGGAAGGAGCAGTGTTGGGTGAGGCGTTACTCATTAGAGTACTCTGATTACTTTTTTGTTGTAATGAGTAACCTAATGCAGTTTTGCATCCAGCGAAGGTTGAGGTCCCTCATCCAAGAGACTTCTTCAGTTCTTCTTCAGAACTAACTACTTCTGTTTATACTTCTTTTTGGAGTCAGCTTGGCGGACTCTTTCTACACATGTGCAGTAGATCGGTTGCACGGACGTCTGCACAGATCCTATGTGTAACCCCTTTGATGACGATTTTTTTGTAACACGGACCCTAGTGGCCCCTCGCATACTTGCGACGCAGAAAGTATAATCCTTGCTTAACAGGTTTCTCATGGAGAGGCACCATGATAAACAGCAGAGGACAGAAGCAACAACAACACAACGCAGTTCGGCTTGAAGTTCCTCCGCCACTTCCTCGATCCCTGGCGAGGGTCTGTGTGTCTTCCTCTGACAGTCACCGACCGACCAGCTGCTCAGATGAAACAGAGTTTCTGCTCTGACCAGCTCCTTAAAGAGTCATATTCTGCTTTTTGGCTTTTCCCCTCTCCTTTACTGTGTTATAAATCTTTTTGTGCATGCAACAGGTTTGCAAAGTGAAAAAGCTCCTGTCTCCCACAGAAAACCCTGCTTCTGAACTGAACACAGCTGGATTGTAGTCCAGTCTTTCCTTCAGTAAACTCTCTTCGTCACTCTGTAACACGCAGCATGATGCTGCCTGCCGGCTGGTGTGGAGAAACACACTGAGCTGCCAGGACGTTACTTCACTCTGTAGCTAAAACCGAGCGTTCACAGGGTGAAAAGAGGAGCTGCAGCAATGAGCAGCCTGACAAACATAAGGTGTTTTTAGAAAAGGAAATAATGTAAACCTGTTCTGGTCCAACCCCTAAATAAAACTATCAACCTGAACATGACCTCTTTAAAAGACCGTCAGACAAAATGGAGGCAAAGCTGAAGCTGACGGTGAGTTTATTAATTATTATAAAATGACTTCCTGCCTCTGAGAGCAACAGAAACACGTGAAGTCACGACCAAAACAGCAAAATCACAGAAGTTATTTCTTTTTATAAATCTGATAAGAGAAAGACGACAATCCTGTGTGTGTGTGTGTGTGTGTGTGCCAATCTCCTTTCTTGCCACATGGCTGCACTTGCTGATTACCTGATTTGGTTGTTTCAACCTCCCTGTTTGCCAATGGGCTTTAAACACACACACGCACACACACACACACACGCACACAGGCCGTCCAAATACACTGGTTTACCTGTTATTCAATCAAATCATCTCTTGTATGTGTGTGTTTGTAGAATTTAATGCTCTTTCCTGTGTGTGTGTGTGTGTGTGTTAGCTAACAACGATGAATGTCGTTTCGGTTCATTTACATAGAAACTGACTCTGAAACAGATCTGGAGTCAGCCGCTGTGTCAGGTCTGTGATTGGTCATTGATTGACCTTTTAACGAAGGTGTAGGCGGGAGGAGCCAGTGAATCCGGTGTAACGGGCCCTCAGCACAAAGAAATTCAGGACTGAACGCTCTTATCCAAACATTGGAATCGCTGCGTGTCTCTGAACAAAAACCATCTCAGGGGCTTTATTTGGTTTACAGGATCACTGAGACCTGATTCTTACACAGAATCTGGTCACGGCTGTCGTATGTTGGACAGATTGTTCAGAGCTCGGAGTGATCTGAAATCTGTTCAGAACTGTGACACCAGTGTAGATGTAAACACACTCATTCATGGATCAGTAAACCCAGTTCAGATGTCTGCTGGATTCTAACATCAGAAGCATTAAGGATTACTTCCAGTTATTAGAGTTTCTGTGGTCGGCAGTCGCTCTGCTGCACGCTGAGCACAAGGCAGTGTGGGTAATTGAATAAAACCATTACAGCTGAATTATTAAAGACGTGGTGGGATGTGGTTTTCATTACGGAGCTAACAGCATGTCAGGAGACAGAAAACAGAAATCCTCCTCGTCTGATTCTCATGTTGGCTCACTGACCCAGAAGAGGAGGTTTTGTAGTTTTAGCTTAGCAGCAGGTAGCGAACCCTTTGATGTCTCGATAACTCGCCCCATGTTCTCTCCTGCAGACGTTCGCAGTGTCGAGCTCAGCAAAATAGTGTGTAGGACGGAAAAAGATCAAGCCCACCTCCACACAACCAACCAATCACAGAGTGTTGTGGCTGATTGGCGCTCGCTGTGTCTGAAGCGTTATGATAGACTTGCTGGATCCCACTATCAGAGTTCATGTGGGTTCTGTCTTCTGTCTGCCAGTTCAACCAAAAGCTTTATTTTCACCGTCATTTTGTTTTATTTATGAATGTTTCAGGACCTGAAGATGTAAAACTGGAAATCCACAAACAAAAAGATCAAGAAAGAAATCTGAAAAAACAACATGACAGAGTGAAACAGAAGCATGTTTCTTCTGCTCTATTATTCTGTTATAGTCTCACATTTTAACCATTTACACTTCTCTGATGACCCCTCGGGGCGTCCCGACCCCAGTTTGGAAACCCCTACTCTGAAATATTGTTCTATGGGATAAACGAAACCTAGAAATCTTACAGCTTCTGTTCACACAAAATATAAAATATTGATCCAGAAAGAAATGTTTAAGATAAAACTGTAACTGTAAATTGCAAACGCCTCCATAGAAGATGTCTTCGTGTTTGTTAATAAAAATACACAAGTGTGTAAAAGAGTGTGTGTGTTTCAGTTAAAGACTAAGAGTCAATGTGTGTCAACACACACACACGCGCGCAGTAGAATCAGGAGATGCAGCTGATGATTATCAGGAATCTGAGCAGCCAACCAGAACACAGACTGATGGAAAAAACACCAACAATAATCAGTTATTCTGTCTGTGTTTGTATAAAGCAATGGTTTGTCTGAGTGAGTGTGAGTGAGTGTGTCACTGTGTGTGATACTGTGTGTGGTACCTTGGGCAGTCTCTCTGGGTCTCCGGGGTGGCGAGGAATGACCTTCTGTAACCTCTGGAAGCCGTAATCTATGGTGGGTTCATTTAAAGCTGAGAAGAAAAAGTAAAACGGATCAGCTGTTAGAAAACTATTTTCACAACACGAGACGTTAGAAATCCTCAGTCTTCTCTAGAGCGGATCACCGTGACGTCACCGTGACATCACCTCCACGTCGACATTTGTTGATTTGAAAATCTGCACATTACTTTATTTTTGTGGTCACTTTCAGCCGTTACGTAGTGAAACACGCTGGTCCGGCCTGTCGGACCTGTTATCTTATAAACCACATCGACCTTACAGTAGCGCCTCACCATCGGTACAACTTGTGAGAGAACTCAGGCTTTCGTCCTCTGTGGCCCAACAGAAAGACTGACGCTAGTGAACAGTGGACAAGTTAAGGTTCACTACTCTACAGTGCACTAGTTTACGGTTCGCTAGTCTACTGTGCACTAGTCTACTGTAGAGTAGTTCACGGTTCACTAGTCTACTCTCCACTAGTTCACTGTGGACTAGTTCACTGTGGAGAAGTTTACGGTTCACTAGTCTACTGTGCACTAGTCTACGGTACACTAGTTTACTGTGGACTAGTTCACTGTGGACTCGTTCACTGTGGAGAAGTTTACGGTTCACTAGTCTACTGTGCACTAGTCTACTGTACACTAGTTTACTGTGGACTAGTTCACTGTGGAGAAGTTTACGGTTCACTAGTCTACTGTAGAGTAGTTCACGGTTCACTAGTCTACTGTACACTAGTTTACTGTGGACAAGTTCACTGTGGAGAAGTTTACGGTTCACTAGTCTACTGTGCACTAGTCTACGGTACACTAGTTTACTGTGGACTAGTTCACTGTGGACTCGTTCACTGTGGAGAAGTTTACGGTTCACTAGTCTACTGTGCACTAGTCTACTGTACACTAGTTTACTGTGGACTAGTTCACTGTGGAGAAGTTTACGGTTCACTAGTCTACTGTAGAGTAGTTCACGGTTCACTAGTCTACTGTACACTAGTTTACTGTGGACAAGTTCACTGTGGAGAAGTTTACGGTTCACTAGTCTACTGTACACTAGTCTACTGTACACTAGTTTACTGTGGACTAGTTCACTGTGGACTAGTTTACGGTTCACTAGTCTACTGTACACTAGTCTACTGTACACTAGTTTACTGTGGACTAGTTCACTGTGGAGAAGTTTACGTTTCACTAGTCTACTGTAGAGTAGTTCACGGTTCACTAGTCTACTGTACACTAGTTTACTGTGGACAAGTTCACTGTGGAGAAGTTTACGGTTCACTAGTCTACTGTACACTAGTCTACTGTACACTAGTTTACTGTGGACTAGTTCACTGTGGACTAGTTTACGGTTCACTAGTCTACTGTACACTAGTCTACTGTACACTAGTTTATTGTGGACTAGTTCACTGTGGACTAGTTTACGGTTCACTAGTCTACTGTACACTAGTCTACTGTACACTAGTTTACTGTGGACTAGTTCACTGTGCACTACTCGATGGTGTGGACTAGTTCATTGTACACTAGTCTACTGTACACTAGTTTACTGTGGACTAGTTCACTGTGGACTAGTTTACGGTTCACTAGTGTACTGTGCACTAGTCTACTGTTCACTAGTTTACTGTGGACTAGTTCACTGTGCACTACTCGACGGTGCACTGGTCGACTGTGCACTGCTCTACGGTGCACTAGTTCACTGTGGACTAGTTCATTGTTCATTAGTTCACTGTACACTAGTTTACGGTTCACTAGTCTACTGTGCACTAGTCTACTGTACACTAGTTTACTGTGGACTAGTTCACTGTGGAGAAGTTTACGGTTCACTAGTCTACTGTAGAGTAGTTCACGGTTCACTAGTCTACTGTACACTAGTTTACTGTGGACAAGTTCACTGTGGAGAAGTTTACGGTTCACTAGTCTACTGTACACTAGTCTACTGTACACTGGTTTACTGTGGACTAGTTCACTGTGGACTAGTTTACGGTTCACTAGTCTACTGTACACTAGTCTACTGTACACTAGTTTACTGTGGACTAGTTCACTGTGGAGAAGTTTACAGTTCACTAGTCTACTGTAGAGTAGTTCACGGTTCACTAGTCTACTGTACACTAGTTTACTGTGGACAAGTTCACTGTGGAGAAGTTTACGGTTCACTAGTCTACTGTACACTAGTCTACTGTACACTAGTTTACTGTGGACTAGTTCACTGTGGACTAGTTTACGGTTCACTAGTCTACTGTACACTAGTCTACTGTACACTAGTTTATTGTGGACTAGTTCACTGTGGACTAGTTTACGGTTCACTAGTCTACTGTACACTAGTCTACTGTTCACTAGTTTACTGTGGACAAGTTCACTGTGGAGAAGTTTACGGTTCACTAGTCTACTGTGCACTAGTCTACTGTTCACTAGTTTACTGTGGACTAGTTCACTGTGGACTAGTTTACGGTTCACTAGTCTACTGTACACTAGTCTACTGTACACTAGTTTACTGTGGACTAGTTCACTGTGCACTACTCGATGGTGTGGACTAGTTCATTGTACACTAGTCTACTGTACACTAGTTTACTGTGGACTAGTTCACTGTGGACTAGTTTACGGTTCACTAGTGTACTGTGCACTAGTCTACTGTTCACTAGTTTACTGTGGACTAGTTCACTGTGCACTACTCGACGGTGCACTGGTCGACTGTGCACTGCTCTACGGTGCACTAGTTCACTGTGGACTAGTTCATTGTTCATTAGTTCACTGTACACTAGTTTACGGTGCACTAGTTCACTCTGGACTATTTTTCTATGGACCAGTTCACTGTGGACTAGTTTACTGTGCACTAACAAACAATCATTCAGGTCATCAACGAAGACACATAACAGCTGTTGCCACCAACAGAAACTCTGACTGGCAGGTTGAACATCATCAGAGTCACGTTGCTTTGCAACAACAACAGTCCCTCTGACTCGTCCTGCTGACTAAACAGAAACAGAAACACCAATCAGAAACAGTTTGTGTGGTGAGCCAGCACTCCGATCCGGGATTGGTCCGACACACGTCTTCTTCTCTCCTCTAACATCATTTACAGTTTAAACTGGTAGGGAGGTGATAAATCAGAGCGTCAGTGAACGCAGCCGAGCACAGAGAGGAGTGTGTGTGTGAAGTGCATGAATCATAATCCCGTCTTGGTTCAGCTGCCTTTAACAAGCTTTAGACTGGCTCTCCTATACATCACAACAGTGTGTGTGTGTGTGTGTGTGTTCAGTCCTTGAAGGCTCACAGGGCGTAACAAGCAGCAGTTATAAGAGTGTGTGAGCTCTCCAGATGTCTGTGTTATCTGCAGCCTGCTGTGTGTGTGTGACCTTGTGTTGTTGACTGTGAGACAGTTTATTATCACCTGTGTGTCTGTTTAACCTGCCGTCTGTCTGTCTTTTCTCCTGTTAACGTTATTTATGGATTAAAGTTAAATCGCTCTTCAGTGTCTTTGATTTTGTCCTTAAAGGTTTATTCCATAGGCTTTTTGTGTCGTTTACTTTGGGCCCCATGAAGGCATTGATGTTTGAAAAACCCTGCTTACATCTTTCACTAACTGATAGACTCCATGTTTGGAGTCAAATTGACATTTTCTACATTTGTATCATGTTTCTAAAATTCATCCTGAAAGGTTTGATGTTTTATTCTGGAAACTGTTCATATCAGACATATTAATGACAGCAGCATTATATGCGTGTTATTGATCGGTAAATCTTCTTCACTATAGATTTGGAAGTTGACATATTTGTAACTCCTGTATCTAATAGATATTGTTATAAGTCTCAGCTGTCAGTAACTTCCTCTGAAGTCTTTATCTGATTGGTCGATTGGCTGTGATGAAGGACTCTAATCAGACCGCCAGGCTGTGTAACGATCCAATCAATAAGCTGACTGTGCATCGCCGTGGTACCCAGCATGGGTTTAAGTGATTGTTAGTTTGTCAGTTTACATCAGGAGTTAATGGAGCAGCTGAGTCGGCAGTGACTCCAGTTACATACTTTATCATCTCTGGACCATTTCAGATAAATTTTCTTTTGGATTGTAGATCAGTTCTGCAGAACGCAGCTGTGGTGCAGCGTTTTTAACACAACTAAATTCACAACAGCAAAAGTTGAGGTCAGTGGGAACTGTAGTATTCTCTGTCTCTATTTATATTTGTAAGTAGAACCTAAACTGTCATTTTAATTTATCTAAAGCTTCTTTGGGTGTTTTTAACAGTTTTATTGAAGAACATTTTATGATTTTATTTGCATGCATTCAAAATTTGACATATAGTACAAAAGTATATGCATGTAAAATACCAACAGTAAAAGTACTCATTCTGCTGAAAGGACCATTTCATAATAATATATATTATAATTTATGTTGATGAATTAATGTGTGTTCATCACTTTAATGCTGCAGCTTGTGAACTTCCTCCTGAGAATCAATAAAGTTTTATCTTTAACCTGTAATAATTCATCATAATTTATTCATTGATTATATTCTGTATTAGTAATCCGAATCTGCAAAGTATCAAATACATGTAGTACAGCACAAAAAGAAAGTAGCATAAAAAGGAAATAAAATAAAGTACAAATACCACGAAATAGTACTTTAGTAAAGTGGTTCAGTACATGAGTGAATCAGTGAAATGTTTTACTGAAACAGGCCTTATTTTGTTTCATTCAAAACAGAGGAGGCAGATCAAACTCAGGAAACTGCTTACAGCGGCGTGAGTGTGTGGTGAGGAAATCAAATCTGAGGGCGGGTCCGACAGGAATGATCAATACTTTGCAATCAATGCTCATTGAAATTTCCTGTCTGTCTGCATGAGAACAACACATTTTATCTGCCAGCAGGTGCACAACGGGTGCACAGCGGGTGTATAACAGGTACACAACGGGTACGCAGCAGGTACACAACGGGTACGCAGCAGGTACACAACGGGTACGCAGCAGGTACGCAGCGGGTACACAACGGGTACGCAGCAGGTACACAACGGGTACACAGCACGTACACAACAAGTACACAACAGGTACGCAGCAGGTACACAACGGGTACGCAGCAGGTACACAATGGGTACGCAGCAGGTACGCAGCAGGTACACAGCAGGTACGCAGCAGGTACACAACGGGTACGCAGCAGGTACGCAGCAGGTACACAGCAGGTACGCAGCAGGTACACAACGGGTACGCAGCAGGTACACAACGGGTACGCAGCAGGTACGCAGCGGGTACACAACGGGTACGCAGCAGGTACACAACGGGTACGCAGCAGGTACACAACGGGTACACAGCAGGTACACAACAGGTACACAACTTGTACACAACAGGTATACAACGGGTACGCAGCAGGTACGCAGCAGGTACACAACGGGTACGCAGCAGGTACACAACGGGTACGCAGCAGGTACGCAGCGGGTACACAACGGGTACGCAGCAGGTACACAACGGGTACGCAGCAGGTACACAACGGGTACGCAGCAGGTACACAACGGGTACGCAGCAGGTACACAACGGGTACGCAGCAGGTACGCAGCAGGTACACAGCAGGTACGCAGCAGGTACACAACGGGTACGCAGCAGGTACACAACGGGTACGCAGCAGGTACACAACGGGTACGCAGCAGGTACACAACGGGTACGCAGCAGGTACACAACGGGTACGCAGCAGGTACACAACAGGTACACAACTTGTACACAACAGGTATACAGAAGGTACACAACGGGTACACAGCAGGTACACAACAGGTACACAACTTGTACACAACAGGTATACAGAAGGTACACAACGGGTACACAGCAGGTACACAACAGGGACACAACTTGTACACAACAGGTATACAGAAGGTACACAACGGGTATACAGCAGGTACACAACAGGTACACAACTTGTACACAACAGGTATACAGAAGGTACACAACGGGTACACAGCAGGTACACAACAGGGACACAACTTGTACACAACAGGTATACAGAAGGTACACAACGGGTATACAGCAGGTACACAACGATAAAGTGGTGAGCGTACGTATTTGACTGATCACTGTGTTTTTCTCATCTTTCTGAAACGTACAAAGAAACCTTCCCAGTACGATGCGTTCAAGTGCAGCCGTAGAGATCAGTGCTGATTAGACTAGACTCTAAGCAATGGAAAGTTATTTTACTAAACGGTTGCGCTTAATTACAATCGTGAGGTACTTTTACTTGACTTGATTATTTGGTTTTGTACTTCTACATCTCAGAGGGAACTCTGTACTCTGTACTGCCTTTAGTTTAGGCATTGTTAATGATTTGTACACAGGTAATAATAATAAAGAAAGTCTACTTTTACTATTGGTACATTAAGTACATGTTGCTGATTATAAATTCTTTGAATGCAGGACTTGCTGGGGTTCCAACGTACCCCCACAGTCCTGGCTGTCCTGGTTTGGGTTTTGGTGCTGTGCTGGTTTAGACTCCTGCTCCATGCTCTCTGAAAGTCGTCCTCGTGTGCTGTCTCGAGCTTTATGTCCTGCTTTACTTTGAAGTTGTCGCTGTCTGTAGTTCATTGTGTGTTTCACCTGTTTACTCCCTCTCTGCTGCATCCTGGTCGGTTCCTGCTTGTTTCTGTGATTCCTGGATTTCCCTGCTGGACATTTGTTTTCTTGGATTTATACCTGTGTAAAGTTCACATGCGCCATGGACCAAACCCTGTTTCACACAGTCCGACTCTGTCACCTTCCACATGTCTTCACTAGAACTAAAAGCTAGTTAGCACTATTAATTGTCATTTTAGTATCGTTATAGTATTTCTTATCCAGAGCATCGTACATGTTTGGGTGTGTTCAGGTGTTACTACTGGCTCTGGTTGGTGCAGGTGCATCCTGTAAATGCTAACCGTGTTAGCGTATCAGTCCTAATTTATTTCACCTTCCTCTCTGTATAGAAGTAGCACCGCAACGCATGCTGGGAGCGGTGTGGTGCAGGGTGGAGGTGTGCAGGACGAGCCACTCTGAACCACTGAGGTGTGAAAGCATCTGCTGGATGAAACTGAAGGTCATGTGACCGATGACATCACGTACGAGTGTGTGTGTGTGTGTGTGTGTGTGTGCGCGCTTCACACCGCTCAAAGGTCATTAAGGCGGCGGTCCACCGGCGGGATTGAGGGTTAATGGGATTTAAATGTGTGTAATTACTCCGACGGCGGTGTGAAATGAAACACCTCCACTGATGTGCTCCACAAAGAAAGAATAGAGAAAGAAGGAGGGAGGCAAAGATGAAGAGGGAAAGTGTCAGGACGGAAGGAAGAAGTGTCAACAAACCGAGAAAGACGGGTTCATTTAGACGCGAGTCATTAACGGCAGGAGTAGTACTCAGTAGGAGTAGTTTAGAGTATTCAGTAGGAGTATAGTGTAGTTTCGAGTCCCGCTAATGAACTTATCCTTCTCTCTTCTCATTGGCTGAAAAGGCTGATGGAGCGTGGGGATTGGCTGCTGGGATTTACCTGTGTAGACGAACCGACCCGGCGCTCCTTTACAGAACTGTTTGGACTTGTAGGACAGCGTGACCTCGACGACCCCGGGGATGTGACGGGGAGGGGTCTGGACCCGGATGGCATGAGGGGTGATCAGCTGGAGAGACAGACAGGGGGACAGGTCTCAGGTGGACGTGGTCTCTACAGAGAGAAGCACACTGGAAGGCTGTACCGATTACTGATCAGCTGCGTTACCTCGCTCCACACCAGCATGGTGCCGAAGACCACCTGCAGACCGTCAAAGAAGTTGTCTCCGATCAGGATGACGGTCGCTCCCCCCGTCGTCCAGCCCTCACTGGGACTGATGGCTTTAATACAGGGAGTGGCTGCTGGACGAGAGACACCGAGAGACACAGAGAGACACAGAGAGAGAGATGGGGAGGGAGGGAGAGAGAGAAACTTTTTTGTTATTCAGACTTAAGCTAGGATTATACTTTCTGTGTCCACGAGTACGCGAGGGCCCGCTTAACGGAACAATTGTCATCAGACAGGTAGGCTCTGTGCGTGTTTTCTGACAGGTAAGCCGATGACACCACCAACTGATCTACTGCGCATGTGTGGAAGGAGTCCGCCAAGCTTGCAGTCAGAGTTTTACCAGCTGCTGATTGGTTCTGACATAAAAACCTGCGTACCTTCAGATGGGTCCAGTCTCCGGGCTCGGCGGCCATGTTTGGAGTTGTTGTGTACGAACATGTTGTCGGAGACGGCAAGGACATGGCCGTCTACGTTTACTGTTGTAGAAACCACCACCTGCCAACACACAGAAAACTTTATTTATAACCGACGGACAGAACTTTATTATAACTGACAAACAGAACTTTATTTATAACAGCTAGGAGTATTACCATTACTGTGTCACAGTCTAAACTTTGCGCGACCAGCAAAAAGCTTTCAACCACCAGCAATTCTACATGTATTTACTGAAGCATGTGCTGAAGCAGCACAGCGACATGAAACTTATAGAAAGAAACTGACCAGCAGGAGCTACTGCCAGAGATGATGCACCCGTCGGGAGAGAGTGGCGTTAAGCAACATTTGATGTTCTGTAGAAACTCTGAATACTGCTCAGATAAATGTGCTTTATTTCTTTATTTCAGCCAGTGGGGCTAAGAAACATGTTCTGTAAAAACTTACTGCTTGCTGCTGTTATGAAGATGCTGTTGGTTAAAAAGAGAAACTTGCTTTGTTTTTCTTTAGTTAAATCATGAATATCTGCTCTGAGACTCTGCCGTGTTTCAGTGTGCTGACTCCTCAGGTTCATTGTTGTTCCAGTGGATTCATTTCTGCAATCAGCTGATGATCAGGCCGTCCGGGGGTAGTGAAAGTAATATAGTAACTGTTCCCAGCATGCATTGTGTAAGACAAAGTGCACGTTATCCTCTCAGTAACACAAATGTTTTCTGTAAAATTCAACATGTAGATCTTTTGTTTGTACAGATGGGGAGACGGAACTTCCAACTAGAACCATGAGAACTGGATCCGCACAGCTCTGAGGAGCAACTGTACTGAAATGTCAAATGTCAGAAGTATTTTCTAAATCAGATCACAAATTTTGGCAAATTTAAAATCGCTGCTATGAACTGGACTGCAGTGATTTCAGGTGACCTGCTCTACAAACGAAACGCTCCTAAAACCAGCCGATAAACGAATAGAATCCGGATACAAAAAACATCTTGTGAAAAATTGTAATTGATGAAAATTCTTCTATATCATAAATAAAGGAGAAACATTTAAATGATGATTCATCAATCTGAGAAAACGTGTGGCCCCGCCCCCTGTGTGACGTCACAGCCCCTCTCCGCCGTGGCCATTCATCATCCCCGGCCGGTGGCCGTGGCGCCGGTGCAGAAGGTCGCACAGAGAGAGAGGAGAGGTGTCATCTCTGTCGCCACGGTGACAAACCAGCACATCCTTCATCCTGCTGTCGCTACGACTACCGCTGACAAGTCCGGAGGCTTCACCTGACTTCACCTGTCTCTCCCTCTGATTGGTCTCTCACCTGACCTCACCTCTCTTCTCTCTCTCTCCACATGCTGTCTGCAGCTTGCTCGCCCCGTCTCCCTCCTCCTGCTCTCCAGGTTTAACTGGACTTAACATCCTGTCAGCTCGCCCAGTGCAGCGTGGAGAGGGGGGGGGGGGTAGGCTGTGTTACTGTGTGACAGCAGACATATGGAAACTGTGAGGCTGGACAGCCTCCTTCAGCAACATGTCTTCTCTGTTTTCCTCTCACATCTTTAAATCCTCCTCTCTTTATCTCCACATTGTTCTCCTCTCCTTTATTTCCCTCTCCTCCTCTGGTTTCCTTCTCTGCTCCACTCTCTTGATTCCTCCTCTCCTCTCTTGTTTCCTCCTCTGCTGTCCTCTCTGGTTTCCTCCTCTCCTCTCTTGTTTCCTCCTCTGCTGTCCTCTCTGGTTTCCTTCTTTCCTCTTGTTGCCACCTCTGCTCTCCTCTCTTGTTTCCTCCTCTCCTCTCTTGTTTCCCCTCTGCTCTCCTCTCTTGATTCCTCCTCTCCTCTCTCTCTTGTTTCCTCCTCTCTCTCTCTCTTGTTTCCTCCTCTCCTCTCCGTAATAGGATAACACGGCTGATCAATAGTTAGAGGATCAATCACAGACTGGTTGTCGCTGATGGGCTGTCGGCTGCTCCTTGCTGTTAATTGGTTGATGAATGAAGCTCCTCGAGACGAGAGGAGCGCTCGCTGTGGAGGGTGCGTTTGATTTGAAGTGTCTTTTATCTCAGCAGTCAGTTAATCTCTCCCAGTATTATTTAGACACTCGGGGTTAATGGCTTCACAGTGAGACAGGAAACCCAGAGTCAGCCCCGCCACATGATGACCTGCCATGTAATCACGAACGAGATGAACGCCGAGCTTCCTGTGATCAGCCTCTACTGACAAACATTCAATTACATAATTTTATAAGAAGTGAATGACACAGCAGCTGCGGCAGCAGAACACAGCGTGGCGTTCTTCATTCTTATTATCTGAAAGACTCGCCATCCTCTCTTTGTTTCACTCTGAACACGAACGCCAGGTAACATTTTGTTTTCCTGGAAAGATGTAAACTGAACTGACTTTGGTATGAATTTAATCTGTCGGCTTTAAATGACAGTAACTAAACTAAAGGGGGAAAGTAACTAAAGTTCATGCTGTGGTGCTGGTTGGAGTCATCAATAAAGTTAATTGTGTTGACGTTTAAACTGAAGTGAATATGAATTTGTTATTCTTAATTTTATTCTTGGTTAAATTCTGATTTTGTTTTTTCCTGATTGAAGAGCCACGTCTCTGTTTTCCAGGAAACTCAGATGCTATCCTATTTTATTATAAATAAATACTAAATAATATAAAATAAAACAATAAATGTTATATAAGATTTAGGTAGGAATATAAATGAGTGTTTATTAGAAACGCTTAAAGCAGCTCGAACACAGAACAGTTGACATGTATATGAAAATAAAGCAGGACAGTGAGACGGACAGGCAGATAGACGGTTCCCTAACGACCTCTCATATTATATCTGCAAAGCAATAAGCCTCGGGCCGCCCTGCTGAAATGCATTATGGGTGCAGCAGGTCATCCAAAGCCATGTCCTGCCCTTTAGGGAAATGAATTCATCTTTTTAGATGCGTGTGTATGTGTGTGTGTTACCTGGAACCTCCTCATGTCTCGTGGGTTTCCAGCGTTTTTCAGACAATTCTGGTTACACTTCAGGAAGAACTTCAGGAAGAACCTGCACACACACAAAGACAGGACACGGTAATGATCACTTACTCTGCATCTATCACACGGGTCAGTAACAGCACCGATGTGAACTTCCCAAAGTGACTTGACTTGACAAAAGGAAAATATCGATTATCTGATAATATGATCTCGGTACTGGCAGCAGGACTGACTGAGGGATCATGAATAAATGAGGTTCCTCAGGGTTCTGTTCTAGATCTCATTCTGTTGTTTCATGCGTCTATATGCAGATGACACAACGTTCTACACATGAGAACACTGAGTTCTTTCTGCTGTCATTCCCTAATGCTCGCCGCACACTAGATGATAACTGGGACGATTTTAGGGACCGATTCGTCCTCGTAACAATCACGGGGGCCTTCCAAAGCAGAGACTGGTCGGAACAGATTATCAGCCTGAATGATCCCGTAGTGTGAGGCGTTTACAGACAGAATCTGAAGGTCGCTGACTGGATCAGAGGCTCCCTGATCAGAAACCTGCAGCCAATGAGAGCCAGAAACATCACCAGCGTGTCTAAAATTCCCTCCCTCAGCCTCGAGCTCATCCTTCACACTAAACCCGCTGCTCTGAGTGAATAATGTGTCAGACTCCCAGACAGAAACTAAAGCCAGACTAGCAGAAGGTAAACACAGACGACACCGTGTTGGCTCTAGCCCAAACCTGATCTCACCACCAGGTCCATCTGTTCTGGAGCTTTCTACTGAATCACACCATCTCCTCTCCAGTTTGAGTTTAATACTGTTCTGTTCACGTTTTAGAACATTATGGAACAAATATTTACATGGCTGTGGCTCAGGAGGCCGAGCGGGTCGTCCCGGATGGTCAGCCAGCACTCGATGTGTGAATGAGCAGCTCAAAGGTGGCTTTTAAAGAAGGAGAGACTGTGTGTGTGTTGGTTAACATGTATGTGTCAGTACACGGGATGTAATCTGAGCACTCGTTCTCCCAGGAGAGAGGGAGGACGAAGGAGACAAAGGACAGAGTACGCCCCCCCACCCCAGATTGCAGACCTACATGTGTGGTTCTGTTGTTGCAGCAGAACCTCATTTGATTTGTCTAGACTTTTTTAAGAAGTGTGTGCGTGTGTGTGGTGTGTCGGGGGGGGGGGGGGAGCTGAAGCCGTGCGACACGTACACTACCACAACATCACAGTGGTTTCCATGGTAACGGGTTGTAAACACACACAGAAGGACAAAAAGGAAATCTCTCTCAGGCGATGCGTTCGGTCTCTGAGGGTCTCGGCAGTATTGATTACCCAGCATTCCTTGCTGCTCGTCTCTAATGAGCCCGCAGAAGGACAAAGTGCTGACACCAAACACACACATCCAGTCTGAACAGATGCTCTGTAAACAAATCAGCCTTTTCTGGAAGATCAGCATGTTAGAGATATTCAAATAAAATCCATAACACAAACATTCTAACTGAACTTGTTAGTTGTGATGATGTTTCAGGTGTTTCCTGTCCAGGTGCTGCCGTCGTGCTCAGGTTCACTTCAGGTTCAGACCTTCAGCTCAGCTTAGTTTCATTTTGTCCTCATAAAGCAAATGTGGCATCCTCATCATTATAGTTATTAGTGTTGTATTTAGTGTTCTTCTTCTGCGTGCTGGCGGCAGCGGCGGCGGCAGCAGGAAGCTGCTCTCTGAGTGGATGAAGTCTCTCTGATGTTTGTCTGAAGATAGCCTCAGTGTGAGCGCGTGACCTCTGACCGCCGATCAGCTGATCTCTCTCACACGGAGTCTTATCGCCATGGTAACCACCCAGCATCAGCAGTCTCAGCTGATCGTCACGTTATCTTCAGACGCACAGACTCAACTTATCTCCATGCTCCTCCTCACCTCCTTCCTCCTTATCTCCTCCTCTCCTCCCTTGTTTCCTCCCTCCTTCCATCTCGTCCTATCTCTTTTCTCCTCTGAATGGAGAGCGAGCAAGCGAGCGAGCGAGGTCGTAAATCTACACGCAGGACAGATTAAGCTTTCAATTTGTTATGTGATAAGCAGGGAAGACCCCGACACACACACACACACACACACACACTCTATTACTGCTCATATTTACGAGCAGGAAATTAGGACGCATCGCAAATTTATCTCCAGGAAGAATGGAAGTCACACACACTGTCACTGAAAACACACACACACTCAGAAACACACACACTGCGCTGGAGTTAATGTGCTCTATGAGGTAGAAAATGTAGTCGCAGTGTGAGGAGGAATTATACTGACAGTAATGCACTGACACAGGGAGAGTGTGTGTGCTGAGGAATGGTTTATGTTTAGGGAGGATGAAGGGGAGCAGCAGCCATATTGAAATGAATCCCCAGTTAACAGTAATGTTATGGATCGTGTGCAGAACAGAAGAATTCAGCCAGTAAAATCACCCCAGGTACATCTCTGCAGACCTGTGTGTGAACCTGAACCTGATTCTACGCTGAATATTAGAACTGGGTCTGAACCAGGTCTGAACCTCCCTACAGCCCGGTCCTGTACAGCGACGTGTTACCTGGTTTACAGCAGAAACTCACAAAGACAACGTGAACAAACGATCTCCGTTAAAGCAAAACAACTGTGTTTAATATGTAAATGAGTTCTGCTGCTAACGAACACCTCTGAAGAGCAGTCAGAGCGTCGGAGATGATTAATGACAACTGCCAATTAGCAGCAGTGAGTTCACTGATTAACCAGCTGACGGAGGAGGAAAACCTGAAAGAAGGAGAGGCCAATCAGACACACTCCAGAATCAATAACAATACATTACTCATAAATGTTCAATTCAGAACATGTCCAGGGGCCTCAGGGGCCCCACGTCCCAAACCCTGCCTCACCTCAGACCACAGAAACATGTTTCTGTTCCTTCCAGGGAAGGAACCCGGTCCTATCTTAGAACCGGACTTCAGCTGTTATAGAAGCGTCCTGACTGACTAAGTGAGGAACCCCAAGTCAGGAAATCTAAGTCAGGAACCACAAGTCAGGAAATCTAAGTCAGGAACCACAAGTCAGGAAATCTAAGTCAGGAGCCATAAGTTCAGGAAATCTAAATCAGGAACCATAAGCCAGGAACCCCAAGTCAGGAAATCTAAGTCAAGAACCCTAAGTCAAGAACCACAAGTCAAGAACCACAAGTCTGTAACACTAAGCCAGGAACCCCAAGTCAGAAAATCTAAGCCAGGAACCACAAGCCAGGAAATCTAAGTCAACCCTAAGTCAGGAACCCCAAGTCAAGAACCACAAGTCTGTAACACTAAGCCAGGAACCCCAAGTCAGGAAATCTAAGTCAGAAACCCTAAGTCAGGAATCCCAAGTCAAGAACCACAAGTCTGTAACACTAAGCCAGGAACCCCAAGTCAGGAAATCTAAGTAAGGAACCACAAGTCAGGAACCCCAAGTCAAGAACCCCAAGTCTGTAACACTAAGCCAGGAACCCCAAGTCAGAAAATCTAAGTCAGGAACCCCAAGTCAGGAAATCTAAGTCAGGAACCACAAGTCAGGAAACCTAAGTGAGGAACCCTAAGCCAGCAACCACAAGTCAGGAAACCTAAGTCAGGAAACCTAAGTCAGGAACCATAAGCCAGAAAGCACAAGCCAGGAACCCCAAGTCAGAAAATCTAAGTCAGGAACCCCAAGTCAGGAAATCTAAGTCAGGAACCACAAGTCAGGAAACCTAAGTCAGGAAACCTAAGTCAGGAACCATAAGCCAGAAAGCACAAGCCAGGAACCCCAAGTCAGGAATCCCAGTTCAGGAACCCTAAGTTAGGGATCTTGCCAGGAACCCAAAACAAGATCTGATGAGATTCACTTGATGGCCAAAATGTTAAACATCTTGGTCCAGTCCTGGACTCCAGGTGAGCTGCTGTGAGGATATTTTGAGGAGATGCTCACAGTGACTTTACCTAAAAAACCTCAGTGGCCTCGGTGTCAACAGATTTTAGAAATAGTGTACAAAACTAATGTTGAGAGTTTTAACTTTCCACCGTCCTGCCTGATCTAAAGATGCAGATCTGAGAATAAACTTGTCAGAATAGTTGGCAAAGCCCAAAAGGCCTTGGCTTACAGAACAGACGAGGAAGAAAGCGAGGAGTGTCTCTTTTATCTTTCTATGCTGGCATAATGCAGGTCCTAACCTGATCCTGATTTTAACCTGAACCTTAAAACCTGGTCTGAAGAGCCCTTTGGGGTCATGAGACCATAATGTCCTCACTATGATGGCTGGTCCTCACAGACCGCAATACGAGAACACACACACTGAGAGGCTAAACGCACTTTAAGACGTTAAAGTCCAACATTTCTGTTTGATAATGAATCATGAGAGAAACCTTAGACCCTCATCCTGTCTGTCCTGCTCCATTAGTCCGCTCCGTGTTCACAGCCGGCTGAGCTGCATGTTTAATTCATGCACACACACACACACACACAGCGTTGATCGGTTCATGATCAGCATGATGAGTCCTTTCGTCTCGACCTTTGACCTCTGCTGTAATTGGAGACCAGAGAAGCTGTCAGCCAGCAGTGTCTCCTCAGCATGCTTCTCTCCGTGTTCTTAGCATGTTCATAGTGATAATCCTACATGAAATTACTGAACTTCATCACCATGGACAGAGTCTCAGGCTGTTTCTCAGAACCGAGTTCGCCAAGTTCGGACTTCTGTACTTTAAAGCTCGGACTTGGCAAGTTCAGCTCTGGAGTACAAACTCCCAGGAACGGGAGCACGCAGTCAGTCATTCAGCAATTGGAACAGCAGCGGACTTGATGACGGCCTGACCCGTTAGTGGGCGGGACCTCACATCTCCGAAAACGTCGCAGCAATTTTTAAAATCAGCTCTCTCTTGAGAAATCAACCACATATTTGGAGTTTAAACAACTAAATTCCCGCATAAAAAATTCATTAAACCACGGACAGAGTCTCAGTCTACCTGCTGGCCTTCAGATGTACAGCTAAGATCCCTAAAACATGTTGTCAGTCTTCTGGAGGTCCAACAGTTGTTTCATCATCGGA